TCTTTTAATAGAATTCTGTTCTTTTTTTTTATTTTGAGTTCAAATGTTCTCTTACACCCACAACTATAAAAATGGATTAAAATACGAACTCCATCATGAATTCCTCACTATGAATTTCAGCATTACCATTAAAACACTCTAAGACGCACTCGTCACCCTCGAGGTTTTCGTAACACAGCACTATGGAGAAATTACTTATTTTTAGTTTAAGTTTATGAAGGCTGCTAAAAATGGCTTATCAACGACAATATGGCGTATTTCTGCCACTTTTTACCATAAAGGAATACGCTGTTTGCTGCCTGGTGGGTGGTTTTTCATTAACACCTCATAGTTACTCTTCGGAATAGTTTATTCTAAGTTGTATTCGAAAGAAAGGCGGTTACAAAGTAGTCTAAAAATTTGTCTGATAATATATTAGAAAACATTTAGGTGATTATATATATAATCACCTAAATAAGTTTAGAATTAAATAAATAATTAATACTAATATTGTCTTTAAAAACGGATACTTGTTAAGAACGACATGTTTTCCAATTTGTTAATTAGTTTCAGTTCCACACATTTTTAAGCAAATATTTGTTACTGTTAGGGTTGATTTCACAGACGTAACCTAAGTCTTAAAACCGAATTTAGTATAAATAATGTTTAGAAAACTGATGGCTTAAGCATTACTTATGTCAGTGATAAGACTTAAGTTATGACTGTGAAATCAGCTTTAAATGTCTGAGATAATAAACTGATTACATATCATAAGGTAACTAATAGAAAGATAAACATATATTTTACCGATCAATACAAGAGACCATGTAAGATAAGAAAATTATGTAAAAGTATTTTCTTTCTATTCTAGTCATTTTAATAAATAATAATATCTTGAAAAATTTTTAATAATTAAATTCAAATTTTTTATTAAAAATTTTTAAGTTTAAAGTTTTAATTTAATAAAAAATATATTTTTTTCTAAAATCAAAACTTTAGTAACAACATTTAAGTTTAGTTCTTGTTTGTTGAAAACTCTAGTACTTTTTATGTAGATAGTTATGCCACAAAGTTATTATATACTATACGCTTAGCAAATATTTACTTAAATTTAAATCATCAGTGACGTGGTCAGGGGAATCATGTGATAAATCCAACGGCTAACAAATGAAAGTGTTGGTAAGTTTTATAATAAATAAATTAATAAACTGCAAAAACAATGTATAACCCCTCTGTAACACAATATTGACAAATATCAGGTCAATTATCCCAGTTACAATATTACGATAACATATTAAGAACACTATTTCAAAAACTAAAAGTTAAGACCTATACTAACCTTTTGATTATGTCAAACAATGACGACCAAGCAGAGTAAGGTCCCCAAATTGCAGAATAAGGTTCAACACTTTGATTAACACTTTTGACTGAACCACGCTATTCCATCACTTCGACCCACAAATGATAAAACAAAATATATAGAAGTTAAGAGAAATTTTGCCTTTGATATCTTAAATGTATTTAATCAAGTGAAATCAACCTCGAAAAAAAAAAGAATAAAAAAACTTTGTCTTTATATAGTACCTGATATATGTGTTAAGCTTACCGAAAGATCAAAAAATGCATTCTATTACCACAATTGGTCATCCAATTATTGGGAAAGAGTATTGATATTATTATCACAATGGCATGACATTGAAACCAAGTGCTAGAATATAACGCAAAGTGAGCTATAAATTATTAGTTTTATATATAAGTTATTAGTTATTATTTATTCGAATAGACTCACATATCTAAGTGAAGTTATGTGAAAAGTACTTTTCTTGAATAAATCTTCGGTTAATTCTTTAAACTTAACAGGGTTTAGATTATAAAGGATTATAAATAAATAATTTTTTCGAAATATTTGATATGATAATATATTAAAATAATTTAATATAATTAACAGCCGGTTGAAACCAAATCGTAGGTATTTCAATAAATTGTTAATTAAATTAATTTAAATTAATAAGAAAAGTACTCACTACCTAACAATAATATAAGAACTTTATGTTAATAAAATAATTTAATTAAAACAGGAAAAAACAGTAATAAATTTTATTTAAATTAAAATTATTTTCAAAAATTA